TAATTAGTGCTTTTCTTTATAGTTTCTTTCCATAGGGATCAGGTCAGGGTTTCTGAGTGTGTGTGAGACGTGAATGCTTAGTGCTGGAAAAGTGCCAGTGAACAAGGGCGTTCTGGAGCCTTTCATCTCAGGTCCATGGATTTTATTTTAAGCAGGGTTGGGGTTTAGCTGTTGTTCTGAAGCCTTTGCTTCAGCAATTCAAAAATAATGAATGTTATTTTCCAGAGGATAACTGACAGGCATCAGAAGATAATTGTATCACTAGCTGGGATCCTGCTCATCTGCATGGTCCCCTTGCTTCAGTCTATTCTTTGGCTCATCTGGGATGATGATGTCTTCCGTCTCCTTTGGGGAGGGCTCTGTTCCTGTTGCGATGTCAGTAGAAGAAAAAGCCTGAACAATATCTTTACTTCACTACAAAGGATTGTGGAAACCTGGGGGAAATGTTCCCTTTAGTGTTCAAATTACGGGCTGCTGTCACTTGTGTTTATAAGAGGATGCATATTTTATATGTTAGTTGAAAAGAGACAGTATTGATACTTGAAAGCTGTTAAAAATCATGCAAAAGACGCTTGTGATTTTGTTCCAAAAGGAGAAAATCCTCTCCAAGAACAACAGTTATTTCTGGAAATGTGATTTTTCAAGGCAATTCTTAAATTCCAGAATTACTGAATGGTTTGAGATTGATCTCTCGGTACCCTAGCTTCTTGTTTTAATAACAGTTTTTGGTCTAGCTGTTTGTGTCTGTCCTGTGTTGAGACAGCTGTGCTAGAATTCCTTCCTTCTGCAGTTAGTTGACACTGTTTTAGTGACAGCTTCTAGTTTTGATAGACCAGCATGTTTACAAGATGTGAGAAGAGCATCTTTTCATCTGATAACATGTAATAAGGAACAGGTCTATAAGATTACTTATCTAATAACCTGTAGCTAGCAGGTCTCTTAATTTCAGATGTTTTCCTTTTAACATTCTCTTATAGTCCGTATAAATCCTGATTGAAAAATCAAACTGGAATTCGTTACACAACAAACTGAACTAACCTAATCCTAGTCACTATTCATTCATAGGACTTCATGAGCGAAAACTGAGGGTAACCAGTTCAATAGTTAACACAACTTTTTCACGTGGACAGTTTTATACTGACCCTGTGGATGACAGGCAGTCGTCTTCTGATTTTGATCTCTGACCTACTTAAGAGGGGTACCTAATGAAGTGTAAAAAAAAATCATTGAAAGAAATATTCAGTGAGTGATCTTTCATAAAAAAAAAGAATGATGCAGTATTACATGATATGGCTAAACATGTGGGTGTTTTTTTTTTTGTTTTTTTTTTTTTTAAATGAACTGATCATAGAATCATGGAATGCTTTGGGTTGGAAGGAAGCTTTAGAGGTGGAATATAAAAAAAATGTTAGACAGGAGTGCAGGGTGTACTTGCAGAATGAGACTCCATGTGGTAAATGGGGCTACTGCACTCTAGATACAGAGATAGGTGAAGTAACACGAGGAGTTGATGCTTTAATGGAAAAAGGGAAAAAAAAAGCAGTATCTAGAAGTTGAAGTCCAGCAAATCAAAACAAGAGATTAGATGCATTAATTTCATGGTAAATGTAATTAATTCCTAAAACTACCAGGATAAGTGGTGGGTTCTCTGTTAAGTGCTTTTAAATGAAGTCTTTCTATTATTTTGAACAGCTGAGGTCGGGAATTACTAATTATTTTTCTGCCAAAGAAGTAATTTCGATGAAATTATTTGAACCGTATTTTGCATAAACAATGGCACTATTTCTTATTTTCTGCTACTAGTTGGAACAAATTGAATTTAGACAGTTGTAGTTATTTGCTGTAAATGGCCCCCTGCGAAGAGATTTAGAGTTTCATGCAGCTTCGGCTTGCCAGGGACCACATATGATTGACACAATTAATCAAAGATCACACTACTAATCCACACCAGACATAACACAGTTGAGAGAACTCAATTAAAACTTTTGTTCCTCCAATTTAAAAGATCAGCCAAGTGGGATCTCAGTATCTCAGCCTTACTTGTTTTGCGTGAGACCAGTGTTAATAAATTGCCTCATTTTGCTTCTGCAGTGCAATTTAGACGCTTATAAGTCAGCAGTCATGCTTCGCCACAATTCCACACGTGAACTCCTGCATCTTTGGTTGACAGCTTAGTCTAGAGAGTTTTAATGGGTGTAGAGAAGTGCTGAAGGAAAATGTAAAAGTTGGAAATAAGAAAAATAATAGGGTAGGTGAAATGCTGAAAGAAATGCTTTACTGAGCCTTACTTTATAAATACAGAAATTTAGAACTAAACAAAATTAAATTTAGTAGTTCAGTTATAGTCTCTCCCTCTTATGATCATTCCTTTTGAAATTTGGTTGTTTCCCTGACCACGTATCGCAAGCGTTATCCTTCTCCATGGGCACCTCTACATCAAGGCTATAGTGAAGACATTATTTGAGACTGTAAATTTTTTACAGCTTACACTTAGGGTGGTGAAACTGCTTAATAGATGACAACATGAAAGGATTAAGAGGAAGAAGCCTATGATTGGAAAGTGGTTGTGTAAAGAAGAAAAAAGACACGAAGACTTTCATTACTGTATTTCAGATGCCTGAAAAGATGTTTTGCTTCTGACTTGTCTCAGAATTTGGGTGGTGTGAGGTAGTGGTGTAGGAAGTTGCTGGGCAGTGTGACAGCTCACAGCAATGTTAAAGGTAGCCTTAAATTCACTGTATTCATACACAGTAAGGCGTGTAGGAACAGGAGTCGGTGCCTCTGGTTTTGGGGAGGGCTGTTGTTATTAAATTGCTGAGAACCAATCCACCACGTAACACTGAGGCGGTATTTAGCCTCACCCATGAGACTAAATCTTTTTCCTGAGGTCTTAGGGCAGTAACTTCCTTGTGATAGCTAACTCCTTGATCCTGTGAAGTGTGGAGGATGTTTACTGTTCTCTTCAAAAGGCGTTAATACTCTGTTGTTCCTTTTCAGGGACTAAACAGCTGTGCAGGTTTTAATGCTCTTGTACTATGAAGACCTGAAAGGATTTTTCTGGAGCATATGTATTTTGTGGAGACAAAAATAGGGAGTTTAACAGTATACTTTGGTACCTTCTGTTGAAATTTTTTTTGAAGCAAAAATAACTGCTTTTTTTTTTTTCAAATATTCCTGATGGCATTGGTTGTGCTCTCACCACTTCTAAACCTATGTTGCTGGTGGCAGTGGTTTGCTGCTGGTGTTTCTGTGGGACCGCAAACAACTTGCGTCTCCTGGCATGGGGCTGCAGGACTGGGTGTGTGGGAGGCACGAGGGTGAGCTCTGGAGGATGCCTTCATCATCTCTATTAGTGCTGCAAACCGGTGGTTTGCTGACGGCAACGTTTCTGATCCCGCTGCATCCGTATGCCCATTCCTGAAGAACTGTGGTATTTTATCCGTTTACAATAATGGAAATGTTTTGTGTTTCAGATAGAAAATGGTGTGGTTCACAACATGTACTTCCTCATTATACCCCCAGTGGTTTTGTCTTTTGCCACTTGATTCATTTGGTAGTGTTGTCTTTTAAAGTGATGCTATCTCCTGTTTTGCTGTTGCCTGATTTCTCCACTGTATTACACTTCTGTTGGTACATCTTTTGTTCTGATGTACTGATTGTATACATTTTCAGTAGCTGTCATTTAAAAAGTGTTGTTTTTTGGTAGTTTCTATCCTTTTGCTGTTTTTTAGTTTATAGAAGCAGTGTTTTCTGTATTGCCAATGGTTTTTCTTTACCTGGAAGTTCTTCCCTATGTTAATATTTTTCCGGTGTTTGAGTCTCTTTAAATTGCTTCTACACCACATACTCTTTATTTTTACTGACTACATGCATAACCTGTCCTTCTAAAAGTATTTTTGCATTGTTTCGTTCTTCAGTGCATTAAGAACCAATTTCAGATATGATACTTTGCAGTTGTTGTGTTTTTTTTTTTTTTTTGTAGTATCTGGTGTGTTTCTTTCATCTAGTGACAACTTATGCTAATTCCCTGTCTAGAGGTAGTATAGTCTTCATGTTTCTTACACTGTCATTAAAACCAACTATTTTCATTTTATACACATCTCCTGCAAATCTTGTGTATGTTTTACTAACTGTTTCTTCAGAACAATGTGAGATTGTGCTTAGATGAGGATGTGAATCCTTCACCAAGGTGCTGGCACCTACAAAAAGCTACTCCCTCCCTCCTCCCACTTCTCTCTACTCTTTTGTAACAGTCAAAATTCTTCTTTTCCCTATACACACACTGGTTTCTGTTATTCTTCCAGTATTTTGTTGAAAGGTTTCATAGGGAATAGAATTTCCAGTTGTTAATACAAAAAAAAAAAAATCCCTTTTACGGGGTAAACTATTATTATTAATGCTTCTCATTATTTTTCTGTTATTTGTTATAGTTGCTGTTTTGTTTTAATGTGGCCAGAAATCCATTCTGATAATTCTGTTCTTTGCCACTTGGAAGACTTCTGGTGTAGTTTTCTCTCTGTAATGCCCGTTTAGTCATATTATTTGCTTTGTGAAGTCTTTACATCTGTTTGGCCCTGGTAATGTATCGGTAGATTCAGTACCTTTCCCTTCTGTGACTTCTTTGGGGGGTTTGATTGTTTGTTTTATTTTGGAAAGCAAGTCATGTTTCCCTTAGAACTGAAGTGTACTTTTGTTTGATAAACAAAACTTCTGATTCAGTTGTTTGCTCCGCTAGGCAATTAATTATGCCATAAGTAGTGAGAATGCTGGAGTGGTTTCTGGAGATAATAGTAGCTGAGCAATGCCCCAAGTTTGTTACGCAAGAGTGTTTTTTTTCTCTTCAAGGTAGCAAAAACTTATAAGCGTGTGTAAATGTCTCAAGATCATTCTTTTCTGTGCTGCCATGCTACTTATATGGCTTAAATGGAGAGGAAAAAAAAGGGGATTTATTTGCAAAAATAATGTAATGTTATATGTCTCTGTCTTCAATGCAGAAAACAGACCCGCAGCTCCTTGCTCAGTTCTACTATGCTGATGACGAACTAAATCAAGTAGCAGCTGAACTGGACAGTTTGGATGGAAGAAAAGACCCACAGAGATGTACGCTGCTAGTCAACCAGTTTCGCTCTTGTCAGGTAATCAAAATGGCAACTTTCTGCTTTCATTGACACTTTTGTGTACATTAAATATATTACATTATTTTTTGTCATATTAATTTCAGTTTTGTTGTAAAATCCCTTTAAAGTGAACCTTTGTTAGGTATATGCCTTTAGTTTAAAGGGTATCTTTTTCAAAAAACGATTCATAAATTAAATCAACTATATCTCATTTAAGATTGTGTTGATGCTTTCCCTTAAATAAGAACATACATTAAAGACTTTGCTTCCTTTATATAAAACAAGTATGCAGAGCTTACTGGAACGTGAGAAATACTTCAAAAATTCAGGCAGTATACAGTAGCCATGCCTTTTGTAGTTGCTCAGCTTCATAACTCATTAATCTGGGACCTTTTCATTAGTAAATAACCTATGGGAAGACAGCTTGTAGCTTAGCTGATTTTTGGGATGAATATTATCTGCTTCATGTAAAAAGTCTTGAAGATGAGAGGAACTACTGAGGAACCAAGCAAAAAGAGGGGGTTTATCTGTAAATTATTTCAAAAGTTTGAATGTGTCTCCAAGTTCCTGTTGTATAATATGCTTCACATAAAAAGAGATTCCTAGTCATATTTGCTGAAAGTATGGCTGTACTCTGAGCAGGACTTGAAGGGAGAAAAAGCAGAGACTTCAAAGACTAATTCAGTTAAGTCTAGCTCTCTAACTTGGATGGCTTTGTGATTTGGTTTAAGAAAAACAATTCAGGAATTGAAGAAGAAAAACTTTCCCTGTCACACGGTATGCCATTCTGGACCATGTTTTTCAATAATTTTTAGAGGTAGAAACTACTTTTGTGGTACACTTCGTGTTTCAAAAAATGCTTTCATATTTCTCCTAGTCATGCCTAAGAAAAACATTTTAAAGCAAAGCAGGCTCAAGTCCAGAATACATCATGCTCAGGTGGCAGGAGGATTTCTGTATGAAAAGTTAACACTTGCTGTCAACTCAGGAGAATTGTAAGTGGAAAGACCATAGTAATAAAGATTAATTTATGTCTCCAAGTAAAAATTGGCAGCTGAGTGTAAAAGATGTATTCTGATTCACCCCTTGCTAGAATTTCTTACTGTTACTGATAGTAAAATGTACCACACCTCATTATGTGGAAAAAATTCATCACTAATTAAATGAAAATTAGTTTGAAGAACAGTGCTCTGATTATCATAACAAATGTTCACATTGAATTTGAGTCTGTTGAAAAGAAAAGCCAGGTGTTATGTGCTTGCTTGCAAGAAATCTGAACTTAAAAAGTGCAGTTTTTTGGAGAGCGCTTACAGAGAAAGAGTTGACTGTCAATGGATTATGTCAGAAACACAATACTTCTGTCTGCTTTGAGTATCTTCACATTTTTCCACTGTATGTCACTAGAGAAAGGTGTTGAGTTTAAGAATTTACCAAACTGGAAACTGAGTATAGTAACAGTTAAATTTCAGTGACTTGCAGGAAAAACAGGGGTGAGCATTACCTTGAAAGGTCATTGACTTCAGTCTTCTGTGCGATGGATCATCTGTGCCTAAATCCCTTTTACAAATATTTATCTGGTTTGTTCGTATAAAGCTCCAGTAATGGACATTGCACAAACTTTCTAGGCAAACTCTCAGGCTGTTTTATTATGAAAGATTTTCTGGTAATAAGAATGGATGAACAATATCATGGTGCAAGATAATCTCCTTGTTTGTTATTTTGTCCCTGGAGATGATAATTTATGCCCTGTTTCTCTGCAGGTGCATGGACTTTCTGATTTGTTTCTTGTAGCATAGGCAGACCTGAGGAGCTGTTCTGTTCAGCAAGTGGCTTCTCGAAGTGTTTCATCTGTAGGAGCGCGAGCAATGCAGACTCCGATAGCGCCTTGGTCAGTTGGCTTGCCTTGCTATATACTGACTCACCACCTTGTGACTCTTAATACCTTGTGATGCCTGATAATTTCTTCTTTTCATTTGTCAGACAGATTGCTGTTACTAAAGCAATCTGTTCCTAGAGCCAAAAGAAAACATGGAGATGGCTTTATTTTTTCATGTAGCTATTTTTGTAATTTCTAGTTTTCAAAGTTCTGCAGAGTAGGTCAGATCATCATCAAATGTCATGTCAAAAATGGATTTGCTAATTAGGATTTACAGTATTTTGTAGCACTTTGCATAAAAGCAATGTTTTTTTGGTTTTTCCTTCTAAGATTTTGTCATGTAAATGCCAAACAAGAGAAGGAGCGATATTTTAGTAAGGATTTGGATGTAGTTATTTGCTAATCGAGTATTGCATGGTGAGATGAAAAATAGGTTTTAGCCTAAGATATGATGGAGTTTGAGGAAGGTGGAGAATCAACAGCCAGCCCTGGGGCCAAAATGGTTGTGATGGAAGGTTGTGCAAGTGGAAGTAGAATAGCAGCTACATTGTGCAATACCTCTGATAGCTGCAACCAATGAGCACACAATTCTGGGACTCATTTTTTTTCAGAAATGAGCTCTTTCTGAGTCTTCAGGCAATGCTTGAAAAGGAACCTGTGATCACAGAACATAGTTAACCAGACTCCCAGTCTTTGCGTGACTTCTTTCTTATTCCTATTTTGTCCTTGTTTTTCCTTGTATTGTTACGGTTTCCAGATTATTCCCAATTTTTATCTACGTAAAGTTTAGAGGCATAGTCTTCCTATCTGATCTTAGTGTTTTCTAGGGACAAAGACTTCTAAAATCCCTTGACCTTCTGCCTTTCCATCTGGCTTCGAAATAAATTCACTGTTCCTGGGTTGCTTACTTTCAGATGATTTACTGATAGTATCTGCTTGATTAACAGGTGATGTTTTGAAAGTTTATTTTGTTTTATTAACTAGAGGAGAAAAATGTCTTCAAACTAGTATGATTTTTCTGAAAGACCAACAAGTCTTACAAACTGTGATTCTTTTTAGAGAGAGATTATTGTTCTGTTGGAACTTATCTATATCTGAAGAGCTATGTTTTATGTCTTTGTCTATATTTTCAACTTTTGATACTAATGTTAGAGCTCCAAGTTTACTGTAGTGTGTGAACAGATCCAGACAAAACAAAAGGACTTTGCCTGAAGGATGTAATGCTTTATAGTGGAAATATTTAATGTTCTCTGTCTTAACAAACCCGCCAGTATTAGTCAAGGCAAGCTGAAGGTGTGGTGCATTGTGACGTTCCCATGGATATGCAGAGCACTTCAGTCTTCAGGCCTGTGGGTGCTTCCTTCGTAAAGAATTGCAACTCTGAATGTTGTCTTATACTGTTTTGCCGTAGTACTATTTGCTGATAAAATTCACACCTTTTAAAGTAAATTAACTTTTCGAAACTTCCGAAGATCTTGCGACTCGGGTTTCAAATGCTGTGAGTTGACTGTGTAGCATGATGCTGAGTAGCATATGTCTATGAGCAAGAATGAAGGCAATGGTTTTCAAAGCTTCACTTTTCATTTTCACGTTAATGACATATAACACTTTTTTTCCAGTTATGGTAGCCTATTATAAAAATGACATCCCTTGTTTTGCTTTGGTGTTTGGGTGTCAGTGGTAGAATATTGTAAGAATGTAACATACCTATGAATACAGTATCTTGCATTTATTGTGTGGTTAATACCTATCCGCCAGAATAAACCACTATTTCCTCTAGCAGTTTCTGTTAAAATTAACAATAAAGCATGCAGAGATGCATGATGAAAAGCTGTGCAAATTTTTCTGAAATGAAAAAAAGGGTAGGTAGGATGTTGTACTTCGGTTTGCTGGACTTGATTGATGTGGTAATAGAGGGAAAGTTTCTTAAGAAAAACATGTTTGCTTCTGTGAATCTTCAGTAATATGCAGTGCTGGTTCATCTGAGGTTTCTTCCCTGTAACACAAATAATTCATTGAAGTATTTTTATATTAGGGTTATGATAAGGTGTCCTTTTCTGTGCTGCTCCCAGCATCACATGGTATTGAATGTCATAAGAAGTAATGGTACTTTGTGTATGTTTTTTAATTAATCACTCATGCAGTTGCAATTCTCTAATTTACCTTGATCGTTGCTATTTTCACATTGGTTAATACCTTGTTACTTGAGTTGATAAACTGGTTTAAAACAACCTCTTAGCCATTAAATGGAATTAGGTTTAGTGTTACATATTACAGAACTTCATTGGTTTTGTTTAAGAGTAAGAGGAAAAAAACCTCCCTTTGTTTCTAATCCAGAGATTTGTTGGGATTTGATAGGTAAACGCTGAACCTATGTACAAGTACTTTACACTGTGAAAGTGTTTTCAGGATCAGAGTACGTGCTTAATCTTTCAGTAGGCTAAGAATTATTTCTCTGTGCACAGTAGTGATGTCTCAGAGTAGCATATGAGTCAGTTCTCAGCATGGTGTTAGCAAAATTATTCCTTGAACTGCAGACTGGGCCTCAGCAACGTGTAACTTGATCTGCTAAGAAAGGGATTTGCCTCTGTCAGGGCACGGACCTGAAGCAAACAGTGGACTTGCCTGGCTGCCTTACCCCTCACACTCTGCCACAGAATGGCAAAATGAGGAATTTACAGTATCTGTGAAACATGACTGTTTCTGGCTCACTGGTAGAAGTGATTGACACTGCATTGCCTGGTAGCATATTATGCTGGCTCTTCACTCTTTTCCTGCTATTCACCTGCTTGGGAAGCACCTCTGGAATTACTGCAGTTGGCAGTCCAGCATTTTCAAGTCAGCTGTCAGCAGTTTGTTAGCTGTAAGATTACTATTTAACTAGCATAACTACTTCAAAATGTAGCCTTTAGTGAGCTGCTTCATGTATTGGTCACTCCTCTGTGTAGTGGGTGAGAAGCAGACACCTATGAATCTGAACCACATTATCTATCACTGTATAAGTTAATGTTGCTGAGAAATTGGAGCCCTTAAAGCTGAAGCATATTTCAGTGCTGTATTGTTATCACTTGTCTTTCTCAATTTCTGTAGCAATATAAAATACATGGTGAATGTTATAAAAAATGCTGTGTTTCAACCTGAC